TTCATTATTGTCTTGAAGACACCAACTGCCCAGGTGTTTTTCAAGTGCAAGAACAAATGCAACTACCATTTGTTTTTAAAATTGATCAGAGCAAGTAAATTGATGATTTCTTAACTTCTTTTATGCTATCTAGATAGGAAAAATGTTTAATTTTATGCCACTATATTTAGTTTTGCAATATTTCAATTAGTTTTGCTGCTATAACATTTTTACGCAATGGCAGATGACTGTCCCAATTTACCCAGCCCCTCCCTTATTACCCTGCTTGACAGTATGCATTTTTGCAAGAAATATCCAAGGATAAAGTACCCATTTCTAGCAACAAATCCTGGCAAAACATTTGGCCTCAAAACTCTGCACAGTGCCCAGATTCACAGGTGGCTTCTGCCAATTTTCCAGAATGTCTATAAGTCTATAACCATTTGACTCTCAGAGGTATATGACTACATGTATAATTTTCTTGCATTTATAACTATTATCTAAAGAAGCCTAGGAAATGAAACTGGAATATTCATTCCAGAAGTTCTAAGTAAGATATATTGGTGCTCAAAGCTTACTGATCATCATTTTAGTGGTCAATTTTTAGGAACAAAAATTATGAATGATAGCAAAAAATTCTGTTAATTGTAAAATTTTCAAAGTATGGTACTACTGTACATTAGATTGTAAACTTTTAGATCACAAAACAAGAAACCACAGTCCAGCAACCCTAAAGGCTGTGGCATCAATATATGTGGAATCAGGGTTGGCGATTTTTTTGATTTTTTTTTTAAAAATCAAAAATCAATGATTTATTTGATTTTTTCATGATTTTTTTGATTTATTTGATTTTTTTTATTTTTTCGACTTTTTTGTCGTTTTGAAGTGTTATTTTTTTATGTTGCAATTAGCCTACTAACAATAACAGTATATGGATCATAATGGATGGCTAAAAAGGGCACTTATTGCCTTCAATAATGGCCAACAGGCCAAGGTGGTGGGATTTTTGGTGGCCTGTTAGGGATTTTTGGCCAAGGTGGTGGGCCACTTAGGGATTTTTGGGTAAACAATTATTGGTAAGTCTATTCATTAGCTTTGTAAAGTTTGTATGGAGCAAGGTAATGACCTAAATATTGACCAATTAACTGGCTTCAATATACAAAAACACTTCAGGAATGCAGATCTTCTAAACATTGAAGAGTCGTATAACAGATAGCTGATAGCACAGTGCACAGCACTATCAATAGATCTACTAGTTTTATGTCCTATAAATCTACCAGACTCTACCCTCTATACACACCGACTAGTAGCGACTGTAGCTGATAGCACAGTGCACAGCACTATCAATAGATCTACTAGTTT